AGCCGCTGCTGCAGCCTTCCTGTTGCGACTGGCCTCGATAGCGCCCCTTCTGTTATTCTCCAGGCGACGTTCAAAGCCACTCTTGGTACTAATTCTCATACCACGAGCGCCCTTTCCGTCATCCTCCTTATCGGTCAATCTTGGAGCCTGGCGCGCCTTGACACCATGCCTCTTCATGTCCTTCTTGCTGTTCTTGCTCAAGTTCGGCAGAGCATCGAGTAGCCATTTCTGGATCGATTTGTCGCCTTCTTCGCCGCCGCGTAGCTTCTCGCTGACGTCAATGATGTTGGCAATACTCTTCACGTAGGGAATATCTTCCTTGGTGTAGTAGGTGACAGCGATACCGCCCTCGCGACCAGCACGGCCAGTTCGCCCCACGCGGTGGACGTAGACGGCGGCTGAGTTGGGGATATCGTAGTTGACCACACCGTTGATACCGCGGAAATCGACACCGCGGGCTAGCAGATCCGTTGTGACCAAAATCCAGATCTCGCCTTTGCGGAAGTCGCGCATTATGTCGGACCGTTGGCCATCTGAGAGATCGGAGTGAAGAACGGCAATACGTGAGGATCCACCTGCTTCGGCGGGGATATCATATTTGAGTTCTGAGTGCAGAGCGACCGCACGAGGAATAGTCTGTGTGAAAATGAGGAAGGGAGGGCGAAGGCGGACATCTGATGGTGAGGCTGCAGCCGGGCGAAGAAGTTGACGAAGTCCCATCAGTTTACCCTGCTCTGTTGCTGCGTACACGAGTTTGTGCTCGATGTTGGGGATTGCAGAGTCTTTCAGTCCTACAACCAGACGAAGTAGTGCATGTGGCTCGCTTGGCTTTTGTTCGAGCTCTTCCAGTCGCTCTCTGATGGTTGACTTGGTGAGGTCCTCGATGTTAGATCCCATGGTAGCTGACCAAAGGCCAACACGCAAGTCGGGGTGTGAGCATGATTTCCAGATATCGAGTGTCTGTTCCCGGAACAAAGGGTCCAGGAGGACATCGGCTTCGTCCATAATCAAACTCCGCACTAGAGGTAATGTTGCCATGGTGGTCGTCCGATTGGCAGATAGAGCATTGACCAGCATCAGAGGCGTAGTGACGAGAATATCACTCTTGGTGACCGGGATGTTGGCTCGCTCCTTTGCTGGCTTGCTTTCAGCATCTTCGTCTTCCGACCCGGATGATTCTTCGCTGTTCTCATCAAGAACATTGGCTTCTCCATGATCTCCAACACGCATACCCTTTCTCATCAACGTGATCTTCACGCCGGTTCCAGCCACTAGCTTGCGGCCCTCGTTGACGATCTGGCTTGCAAGCTCCCTGGTGGGCGCCACAACCAGAGATAAAATACCATGCTCGTCAGGGTTTGAGTGGTGGTGCCGAACAATTTTGTTGATCACGGGGATCAAGAATGACAATGTCTTGCCGCTACCGGTGGGAGCAACAACCAGAAGATCTGGCTCAGAAGACTCTCCAAGAAGCAACGGAAGGGTTCCAAGCTGGACTTCTGTGGGTACAGTAAATCCTTGATCTGCAACATTCTCTGCGAGCCGCGAGGAGATCTTGTATTTAGACCGAAGCTCCTTGAAGTTAAGCAGGGGTTCTGGGAACAAGCGTCTGGCACGCTTCTGCTCCTTCTTACTGAGAATGGGCGCCTCTTCTTTCTTTGACTTCTTCTTTTTCTTCTTGGAATCTGTGGTAGATGTAGGCTGGACTTGGGTCTTTTCCAGGTCGCGCATGTCTGTGACCTTGATCTTGTGCGAGTTCAAGATAGTGCGACGCTCCACTTCATCCATGGAATCGTCGTCATCGGATGCGGCATCCTCAGCAGACACTTTCTCATCGTCCTCGGTCGCAGCAGCTGATTCCGTCACACTGGCTGCAGGGCGCTTGTTTGAACTGAAAAAGTCGAGATCAGGGATATCTTCCTCGTCTTGTTGGACGGCGGCGCCTCTCTTTCTTTTTTTGCCATTCTTGGCAGACTCGAGCTTGTCGGTCTCCGCGGTCCGGAAGAGTTGCGGGTTGGCTGCTTTTCCGGTGGAGGGAAGACGAGAGTCTGAAGCCGACGAGGCGGGCTTTAATTTTGTTGACCGAGTCAACAATTTGAACGCATCCATTTCTTTTTTGTGGTTGAGTCGAAAATGTCGTTGATATTGTGAAAAGAAAAAAAGTGGTCCGCCGTTTTCCTCCCGGGCCAATCAGCGTTGTCCGTCGTATATCACCGCCGAGGCCGGGGACAAAATAACGGGAGTAGGATAATTTCGAAAGATGGAATTGTCTGGACATAATAGACATACCATAGTAAGACGGCTATTCGTACCCAGGGGATTCTGATCATGGTTACAGGGGTTTAGGGAAGAATAGTCGAGGCGAATGGACCTTCAGATTACAATTGAGGGTACGGAGTATAATAGCTTTTACTTTCAGCACAAACAGGAAATCAATTGCAGTAACAAGGTCTATCTCAGACAACAGTTTAAATTCCATCGTCTATCATACACAGCACAGGAAGATTAACATAGGAAAAAAGGAAAGGACGATTCTCTTCTATCCACATCCATTTAGTGCGCATGCGCAGGCTCGCCACGGTAACCAACAATGTTCATGCGACCGATCATCTCGCCAACAGTGAAGAAGCCAATGACCTCAGCGGCAGTGACACCAGCGAGGGCCATCTGCTTGGGGCTGGCGTTGCGGATAGAGGCGAGGATAGCCGAAGGGGAGGGGAGGGTCTTGAGGGCGGCAGGGTTGGTGATGAAAGGCTGGAAGTAGGACTGGAAGGTGGCCAGGTTGCTAGGAGTTGTTAGATTGGGAAGTAAAGGGTCAAGTGCGGAGTTCGACTTACGGGGGAGCCATGTTCTGGCCACGGAACACCAGTCTGCCGAGCTCAATTCCGACCTTGGAGTAGTAGAGGGTAGGAGGGATCATGGCTAGATTGGTTGATTGTTAGCTATGCACTTTATGCAGATGTAATCGGCCGATTGAAGTCAACAAGGAGGTTGGGATTGGGGTGCCACGACTGCAACCGGATCAATCGGTCAATCGTTGGCTTTCTCTTTAGATGAGTATCCAATGTCCAACGCTCCATTGTAGCCATCCAAATGGGAGAAAAATCAAGGGTGTCCCTTACAATCGACGAAAGAGATGACCTTGCCGGCGGGACCACCGATCTTGCGCAGGGCACCGGCGGCGCTCGACATGGCAGGACCAGCGGAGGCAGAGACCTTGGACAGACCCTCAGAGGCCTTGGAGGCAGCTGAGGAAGCAGTCTCACCAGCCTTGGAGGCAGCCTCGGAGGTGGACGAGGCGTGTCTGACGACGGTTCTCCGGGTGAGGAACTGCGATTGCCGCAGGACGGCACGGGTGGCGGCGGGCATTTTGAATATTGCGGAGGAAATGAGTGGAAAAGAAGAATTAAGCAAAAGACACCCGAAGCAGTCGCTAATAGGAGGGCAGTATGATCTAATGATCTGGAGATTCGCGCAACGGCAGAACCAGATGAAGATTTGACGCTCGGGAACTTCAGGAATTGCGGGTCACGTGAGTCCCTTTTTAACCCAAGTAAATATTGTACTTTTCTGATATAGATTCGAAGGGAATTCAGGGAATTTATGGATTTACTATTTACTTATTAAAACTCATCTTTCCTGGAGACGTGAATCTAGAAGTGAATCTGAAAGTCGATAGGAGGCTTAACACTTTGACCATAGTATTGTACCTGCATCCGGCCCCGTTAGTCGAATCACAAGTTGGAACTAGACTCCGGGGAATAGAAATAAGGTGATGGTCTTTCTAGGAGGACTAATAAACATAACGGGTGTTTTGCCTTGAAAAAAAGTTCTGCAAAACTGGTCTAGGAAAAAAGGGCATATGGAAGCTGTTGGGCTCAAATATATAGTGTAATATATGCTATACATGTGTACCATTTTTTCCCATTTTGTCAACAAAATCTCATATAATCCAGATCATGCATTGTGAGAATAACATTTAGATGATATATCGGGAATTTAGGATAGGTTGGGGTCGAATTTACTATAAGAAGAGAGCGGCTGGTGATATATAAGCTAGAGAGAACAGGGCCACCTTGGAGACATAGAGGCTACCTAACTGAGTAGGTGACTATATAGAGAGCAACTATTTTAGGAAGTTTTGCATGATATTTAGTAATAAATACTCCTCCAATTAGATATCTGAATGTTTTATATATTTATCATTTCCTTACAGTGGTGACCTACCAACAGTATTAGCCAGTCCAATGGACAATAGTATATGATGAACCTGGCTATCGCTACGTAATCATACTTTGTCTCACTCAGGATACTACTATACTTACATATATGTAAGTAGTTGGGCCATTGTTACACAGCTTGTTCTCTGAAAGATCGGAGAGAAATTGGTTGGATCCTGGTAGGCTTATAAAAGAAAACATGCAGAGAAAATGTGCATGGTAAGAATTACCTGTCATGCATTCATTTGGAGTATATAGTAGAGGGATACTCCGATGGAAAGTGCATAAAGTGAAAAATTGTTGATAGGTTAAAAGAGTTTGCACTGTTTGTTTCGGAAAAAGGCATTTGCTCCACTGGAAATTCATCAACCTCCGCCGGAGAATTCCCTCTCTTGATCCTATTCTGACCTATACCACATTTATTTCCGAAACCTCGTTAGATTGTTCCAATATGAACCGAATCCAAATAACACAAGCAGTCCTGGAAGTTGCCCAGGTGAAAACGGGGGTCCAGCACAATATTAACCGATAGCCGATCAACATTCGGCCCGAGACTGAGAGCGGGCCAGGATTTCCTCATTCAGACGGAGAAAGCAGTTTTATCCCCCCGGTTAAATCGAATGCCCCTCGACTCCACTTTCTTGTTACTCCATATCGGCGTGGGGTTGAACAATATGAGATCACCGGACACAGACTTTTCGGATTCGAGTATTAAAGTGGCTGCTCCCTCCTTGCATTCATGCCTTTATTCTCCATTTTCTTCCTCTCCTTCACTACACAATGACTTCCGCAACAACCGTCACCAAGGCCAACATCGGTGTCTACACCAACCCGAAACATGACCTTTGGATCGCCGAGTCCACCCCCACAGCAGAGGACATCAATGCTGGCAAGGGCCTGAAGGCTGGCGAGGTCACAATTGAGGTGCGCAGCACTGGTATTTGCGGATCCGATGTGCACTTCTGGCACGCTGGCTGCATTGGACCTATGATCGTCACGGGCGACCATGTCCTCGGTCACGAATCAGCCGGGCAGATTATCGCTGTCGCCCCCGATGTCACCCACCTCAAGGTCGGCGACCGTATTGCCGTTGAACCCAACGTTATTTGCAACGCCTGCGAACCCTGTCTGACCGGTCGCTATAACGGTTGCGAGAAGGTCGCTTTCCTCTCCACCCCACCTGTCGACGGCCTGCTCCGTCGGTACGTCAACCACCCCGCCGTCTGGTGCCATAAGATCGGTGATATGAGCTACGAGGACGGTGCTATGTTGGAGCCCCTCAGTGTGACCTTGGCGGCTATCGAGCGCAGCGGTCTGCGTCTCGGTGACCCATTGCTTATCACCGGTGCCGGTCCTATCGGTCTGATCAGTTTGCTCAGTGCACGCGCTGCTGGTGCCTGCCCTATTATCATCACTGATATTGATGAGGGCCGCTTGGCCTTTGCCAAGTCTCTGGTTCCTGAAGTGCGCACCTATAAGGTCGAGATTGGCAAATCCGCCGAAGAGTGTGCTGACGGTATCATTAATGCCCTGAATGATGGCAAGGGCTCTGGCCCTGACGCCCTGCGCCCCAAGCTGGCCCTGGAGTGCACCGGTGTCGAGAGCAGTGTCAACTCCGCCATCTGGAGTGTCAAGTTCGGTGGCAAGGTGTTTGTCATCGGTGTCGGCAAGAACGAAATGACCATTCCCTTCATGCGTCTTAGCACTCAGGAGATCGATCTGCAGTACCAGTACCGCTACTGTAACACCTGGCCTCGGGCCATTCGCCTGGTCCAGAACGGTGTGATTGACTTGCGCAAGTTGGTTACTCACCGTTACTCTCTTGAGGACGCCCTCAAGGCCTTTGAGACTGCTTCTAACCCTAAGACTGGTGCCATCAAGGTACAAATTATGAGCTCAGAGGAGGATGTCAAGGCCGCCACTGCTGGCCAGAAGTTTTGAGCGAAGAAAGGAAAAAAGATGAGCGGTATTTGAGAACATCAGCGGGTTTCTGGTTGGGATCAAGAGCGGCCGTTGGCGTTGACGATTTTTTTTATATATTTATATTCATGAATGATGCCTAGAGGATGCCCTTGAAATAGAAAGCTCATAAAATGGGCTATTTATTTAACACAATATCTGATTGAAGAAACTGGAGCGCAATCATTAAGGTAAACAGATGGGGACCTTGGCCAAGCGTCATTTTTGGGTTTTAAGCCGGGCCAAGCCTAGGGAAAGTAAATAGCTAAGGGAGTAAAATCTAGACCCTGCATGAACTTGAAGCTATTGAAGTTATGTGCTCCACCTTATATAGGCCTACCGGAATTGACCGATCACAGTCAGGGAAAATCCGATCAATGCCCGTTCCCTTCACAACACAACGATTTGGGACAATTCTTGCACAACACTCGATGTGATAGAGAATTGTCAAATGTTATACAAAGCTATTTAATCATGTGGTGTTTCTCTAGCATCCCCTTGATGCACGTCGTATCACCCCTCATTTGAGTCCAGGCCAGCACATCCTGCATTTATAAGGGTTCACTGGCCCTTTTATCAATCTACCTTGTATTCTGTTGTCTATGCTGTGTTTGTGCTTCAACTGTCAAACATGAAAAGCACATTATTTCTCCTGGCTCCCCTAGTGGGTGCCACTGTCGTGAGATCGACTTCCAAGACTGACGGTTGTCCTGGCTACAAAGCTTCTAATGTGAAGCAGTTGGGCCAGAAACTTACCGCTGACCTCAATCTTGCCGGAGAAGCCTGTGATACCTATGGCACGGATCTTCCAAACTTGAAACTCCTTGTAGAGGCACAGACTGGTATACTACACTACCCCCCATACTTTATCCCCAAGTATAGATGTATACTCATCATTCTACTAGAAACTCGCCTTCATGTCATGATCTATGATGCCGATGAGGAGGTCTATCAAGTACCAGACTCTGTTCTTCCTAGACCTGAGAGCGCAAAGGGCCACCAAAAGGACTCCGCCCTTAGCTTTGACTTTCAGGAGAATCCTTTCTCATTCAAAGTTCTGCGTGGGGAGGAAGTGCTCTTCGACACATCTGACACCAACATCATATTCCAGTCTCAGTACTTGAATTTGCGCACTTGGCTTCCTGATAATCCGAACCTGTATGGTCTGGGCGAACACAGTGATTCGCTGCGCCTGCCGACCACTAACTACACTCGCACTATTTGGAATCGTGATGCATATAGCATCCCCTCCAACTCGAACCTTTACGGTACTCATCCTATTTATGTTGATCACCGCGGAGAGAAGGGCACCCATGGGGTTTTCTTTTTGAACTCGAACGGCATGGACATCAAGATCGATAAGACTGCCGATGGCAAACAGTACCTCGAGTATAACACCCTTGGTGGAGTCCTTGACTTTTACTTCATGGCCGGTCCGACCCCCAAGGAAGTGAGCGAGCAGTACTCTGAGGTCGTTGGCCTTCCTGTTATGCAAAGCTACTGGACGTTTGGGGTATGTTATTTGCACGAAATTTTGAAATCATATTTTAATTGACATTCTAGTATCACAACTGCCGATATGGCTACCAGGATGTCTTTGATGTCGCCGAGGTAGTTTACAACTATAGCCGTGCTGGAATCCCACTCGAGACTATGTGGACCGACATTGACTACATGAGTGGTCGACGGGTATTTACTCTTGACGATGAGCGGTTCCCCGTCGACAAGATGCGTGAGTTGGTTTCGTATCTTCACAAGCATGACCAGCATTACATTGTCATGGTCGATCCGGCCGTCAGTAACTCTGGTAAGTATTATAATTACTTGTTTTCCCCTTCCGCTCTAACGGTGAGTGTGTTACCAGATAATGGTGCTTTCAACCGAGGCCATGACCAGGGCGTCTTCCTGTACCGCGACAATGAACAGAAAGAACTCTACGAAGGTAAGTTCACCAACAGAAGCAAAATACCTACTATTTTCTAACATAATATCCCCAGGCGCCGTCTGGCCCGGTTTAACCGTCTACCCAGACTGGTTCAACCACGACACGCAGAAATACTGGAACTCAGAATTCAAGCGATTCTTCAGCGCACGAGACGGCGTCGACATCGACGGTCTATGGATCGATATGAACGAAGCTTCCAACTTCTGCCCGTACCCCTGTGAAAACCCGGCAAAGTACGCCAAGGAGAATAACCTACCCCCAACACCTCCGCCAGTCCGATCGAATCCACGCCATATCCCTGGTTTCCCGGCTGATTTCCAGCCCGGGTATCCTTCATCTGGGGCTTCTTCATCGCACCGTGCGAAGAGAGACCAGGCTGTCATTGAGGCACGTAGCGTCAGCGAGAAACGGAGCCGCGGTGGAAAGGGAAAGAAGGTCGGCTTGTCTGGCCGAGATCTTATTAACCCGCATTATCAAATTGCAAACGAGGCTGGCTCGATTAGCAATAAGACTATTGATACCGATATCATCCATGCGGGCGAGGGTTACGCCGAGTATGACACGCACAATCTTTACGGAACTAGTAAGTACCCTGTTGTCTAATACTGGAACTTTTCTAATGCGAACTCTAGTGATGAGCTCGGCTTCCCGTGAGGCAATGCTGAAGCGTCGACCCAACGTGCGACCCCTGATCATCACGCGTAGCACCTTCGCCGGAGCAGGATCCCAGGTCGGCCATTGGTAAGATCACACAGAACTCCCAAACCAGCCTACCGGGTACACCTATGCTAACCCCTTCCCCAACAGGCTCGGTGACAATTTCAGCCAGTGGGATAAATATCGCGTGTCAATTCCGCAGATGCTAGCCTTCGCCTCGATTTTTCAAGTCCCAATGGTCGGCAGCGATGTCTGCGGCTTTGGCGGAAACACGACGGAAGAGCTATGCGCACGCTGGGCAATGCTCGGCGGCTTCTATCCGTTCTATCGGAACCACAACGAGTTCGGCACCGTGCCGCAGGAATTCTACCGCTGGCCTACTGTGACGAAAGCTGCGAAGAAGATCATTGATATCCGATACCGTCTTCTCGATTACCTCTATACTTCCTTCCATCGTCAGACCTTGATGGGGACTCCGTTCCTCCAGCCGATTTTTTACATCTATCCTGAGGATAGCGAGACTTTCGGTAATGAGCTGCAGTTCTTCTACGGTGATTCCATACTCGTCTCGCCTGTCTCGGAAGAAGGTGCTACCTCTGTTGACGCCTATTTCCCCGATGATCTCTTCTATGATTGGTTTACTGGTGCTGCTGTGCAGGGTGATGGATCTGTGAAGACGATCAGTGATCTTTCTATTACGGATATCCCGATTCATATCCGTGGCGGGAGTATCATCCCCCTCCGTACGGAAAGTGCTAAGACGACGACAGATCTGCGCAAGCGTGGCTTTGAGATTCTCATTGCGCCTGATGCTGATGGGTCCGCGGAGGGTGAGCTGTACATTGATGATGGCGAGTCGATTCGGCCGGATAGTACGACAGAGATTGAGTTCAAGTACCGGGATGGCAAACTTAAGATCTTGGGTCGGTTTGGATATCGCCCCAATGTGATTGTTGAGGCTGTTACGCTGCTTGGGCATAAGGATACTGGTCGGGATGTTGGGCATGCTCAGAGGCAGAGTGTTACGAAGAAGGTGCAGATTGAGTTGAGTGGACCTACTGAGGTGACTCTGTGAGTTTTCTAGGAGAGGGCTGGAGGGCTGGGGTTGGATTAGTAGTTTAGCGGAAGGCTTTCCGGGGAACACATTCTTTACCGAATCCGAACGCCACTTTTTTATTATTATTTTTTTTACTCAATTTGGCAACCTTGGAATCATATTCTATCATCCATGGATGTAAGCGGGTAAACTATTTTTACTCGGAGTAAAAAATCGAAATGGTGATTGGATGGACCGAATAGCGTCCCTGCATCTCAGCCCCATAGCAGTCAAGTTAAGAATCACGTGTGAAGATGTACGTTTACGGACACATAAGTGTATAAATGTATAGATGTATAAATATAAATATAAATTAAGCGTTTCAAAAAGCACAAACAATAAACGCCTTGCATAGCCTTGCATGAGAGGGGAAGTTACTAGGGGAAAAACCCTTGACAATGAAAACAATGAAAATTTTAACTTTCACTTCAAAGATAAGAATAACTCTATCAGTACGGAGTACTCCGTGCTCCGTACCAATGAGACTAATAGAGGGTTACTATTCTATATCCAAATAGGTACTGGACTATTATAAGTGACAAAGGTCTCACTCAGCCCGAGAGTGACTTGGTATCGGCACTAGTTCAGGCACAGGCCGCTAGTTCCTGAGTCATCTGATGGAGAGACCCGTGGGCTTATACCTAAACCCGGGTTATTATTAGTTTGAGTTTGGGCAATTTTAAGCGATACTGACCAAATATACCCAAGGAGAACATAAAAGGTCTATAACATATTAACTATTGGGAATAATGCCCTGTAGAATACTATAGGATACAGGGACTATGACCCGTGTTTCACGATTGCATGGATGTTGTGATGATAGGCATTAATCTAAATAATGGACCTCGGGAAGTCATATGATTGAACTATGTACAGAGTAATAAACTTTGAATGTCATGGTTGAAATTGTAATATAAAAAAACGAGGGGAAAAAAAAAGAAAAACCCTCGTAAGGCAAAAATCTTGGCGGTCGCGAAGTTGCCATATGGATTCACCTATTTCTGTATTACTTTCTGTATTACGGAGTATACTCCGTACAGGTACGTATTGTATTTATTCTATTGAATTTTCTTTTATGGACCCTTGATGTAACGGTATAATGTGATTATTACGGGTTCATCTGTGACATATGATTAAATCGGCTGATCAGAGGACTGCAACCATATATTCTCCAATATACTCCCTTTACTATGTACGGAGATAATCGTTTGCATATAGGGATGAGAGTACATAATATTGAATACAGTATCACCCATGGATATCTCCAGCCTCATCCTTGTCTCACAACCCGCAAATCCAAGGGCGCCCATCAACTATCAACTCCACTTTCCCCCCAATGAGGATCAAATGATCCACTTTTGACTGAATTAGCCCTGGAGAGTCTTACCTTTTTGTCTCAGCGTTTCCGGCCTTGTCACCCGAGATCCAATCACGTTAATATGTTCAAGTCACTCCCGCCTCCCTTTTTTATTAGCTCCGTAGGCAGTGTATGTATAAGTTTTTTTTAGTGTGGAGTAGATAAAGTGGTGCCTTCCCAGTCGTTCTTGCCATACATCCACTCTCGTTTCCACTTTCCACGTTACTGATATATTTAAAAGGGTTCCCTCGTTGTCCCTCTTGTTTACATTTACATTTTCACTTTCACTTCTTTTGACGTGTATCATATCTCCCCATAATGCCGTCTTTCATGAAACTTGCTGCTGCGGCTCTTGCCGTGGCTGCCCCTCTCGTTTCGGCTCAGACTTACTCTGACTGCAACCCGATGGAGAAGGCATGCCCTGCCAACAAGGGTTCGACTGAGTCCAGCCTGAACTTTGACTTCACCAAGGGTGGTTCCCTCGACCAGTGGAAGATCAGTGGCGGCCAAGTTCCCACCGGCCCCAATGGTGCTGAGTTTACTATCAACAAGGAAGGAGATGCTCCTACCCTGGTCAGCGACTTCTACTTCTTCTACGGTGAATTGTCCATTGTGATGAAGACTTCTCCTGGCCAAGGCATTGTCAGCTCGGCCTTTTTGCAATCTGATGACCTGGATGAGGTTGACTGGGTACGTGATATCTCAAGTTCGGACCAAAGAATAATCGCTAACTGAAATATAGGAAGCACTGGGCACAAAGACCGACACCATTGAGACCAACTACTTCGGAAAGGGTGATACCTCCACCTGGGACCGTGAGACTTGGGTCCCTGTCACCACTCCCCATGAAACTTTCCACACCTACACCATCCAGTGGAGCAAGGACACCATCAGCTGGTTGATTGATGGTGCCAATGTCCGCACTCTTAACTACAACGATGCCCAGGGTGGTGCTCGCTTCCCCCAGACCCCCATGAACATCCACGTTGGTATCTGGGCCGGTGGTGCTCCCACCAACCCCGAGGGTACCATTGCGTGGGCTGGTGGTCCCACCGACTACTCCAAGGGCCCCTACTCCATGTACATCAAGAGCATCAGCGTGAAGAACACCAACCCCGCCGAGTCTTACACTTGGTCTGACAAGTCTGGCTCCGGCAACAGCATCAAGTTCACTGGTTCCAACGCCGTGAGCTCGCGTAGCACCACCACCGACGCTGCCACGAGCTCCGAGGCTGCCTCTTCCACCATTGAGTCTCCCTCCACCACCACTGAGAAGAGCACTTCCAGCGCTGCCACTACTCTGGCCACCAAGACCTCCAGCTCCTCGTCTGCCGAGTCTACTGAGGCTTCTACCTCAAGTGCTGCCAGTGCTTCCAGCTCTGGTGCCGCCCCCAGCGGCTCTAGCAGCTCTGGTTCGGGTTCAAGCCCCAGCTCTAGCTCTGGCGCTAGCTCCAGCTCTGGATCTGGATCCGGCTCTGGCTCCAACCCCAGTTCCAGCTCCCCCTCGCGCTCTGGCTCTGGCTCGTCTACCAGTGCCAGCGCAAGCGCCAGCCCTAGCTTCAATGCAGCTGCCTCTGTTGTTGCCAGCTACATGGGACCTGTCTCCCTCCTGGGTCTGGTGACTGCTCTGCTCCAGCTGTAAATGTCCCTTTCAAGCGCTATGATTTTCTGATGCATCATTAATGGAAATGCGCCTCGAAAGAGGATACTGGGCTGGACCGGGTATGATAATGGTTGATGCGATATTTCTTTTTCTTTTTCTTTTCCGGACTGTACCATTTTTTCCCTTTTTGTCCGTTGGGGCTCAAAGGCCTGCAATCTATTCTTTAGGTTGCCCGGATGTGCTGATTGGCATACTCTGGTAACATGCCGATTTTCTTTGGGCGGACGTCATGTATCTATCGGCGTACATACCTTTGCCATCGAGCAAATATGCAATAATATCAAGTCAATTGACTCTACGGAGTACACATTTCAAATCATCATCTCCATTCGTAGCCTACAATCTAGATCTCTTCACCGCTTGTTTATCATTGCTGTAGGTTTTGCTTTCCAATGCCATTGTGTTCGTATACCCCAAACCCTATCCTACATGAGCTTTGACATCTACCTCGCATTCATATGGGTCATATGCATATTGTCCAAGTTTTGGCAGGTTACATGCACATCCACTTCCTCCACCGGCCAAGAATAGTATATCAAACACACCGGAAAATGGATTTACTGTGAACCGTGGATTGAGAGTTGACTGTAAGGGTCTCGATTGGCGGATAATGAATTGTAATGAAATGTTTGCAGTAGGATTGGTTGATCGGGTGATGGCTGTATAGACGAACCATGGATGCCTCATGGACCCAGGGATATTTTCCTGACATTCCATACTCCATGTGCTCCATATGTACGGAGTAAATTATATGATGTATTGTACGGGGTATGTGGATATGAATTATGGGTTTAATTGTACTTTTTCGTAAAATGGAGAATGGTAAAGTATTGTCATGGCTCATTATTGCATTTAACTCATCTCATCTCGGATACAAACACCCAAGTAAAAAAGAAAAAAAAAAAACTAAATCGAACACTCCCCAAACCAGACTGTAACTACGGTAACTACGGTATTCAATTCTCGGACCCTCAAACTCCGATCTTCCGCCCCTAGCCCCCTGTGGAGACCTTAATTCACCAAGTGGGTCCCCAAGTCGCACGTTGCATATCCTTCAATTGGCGTGATAACCGCAACACCGAGTCAGCAACGGGACGATGGTGCGTGGCCGCGACCCGAAGCAGGGCAAGAGTGGCTGCGGGCCGGGGTATGTGTGTGGGTTCAGTGGATGCAGTGGAGAGCACGGCAGACGATGACGACTCTGTCAATGCAACCGGATTGGAATCTGCATCTCCTGCCGATCGCGCCCGGAACAAATATGCCCCGAACGGTCCCAGCGGGAGTGAGTCGAGCACGGAATATAGCCGGTCGCTGCTGCTATCGTCAGATGAAGATCCGTACTTGTGGAATATTGGACTCCGCCGTTCTTCGCGTGCTACGATCCCGTCCACCGCTTCGAGGTGGTCGTCTAGTGTTGTGAATCGCGTGTTGAGGGAGTCTGCTTTGCTGCGGATTTGCGAGCGCAGTCGGTTGAGGTACTCTTCGCGTCGTCGCATTTGGATCGCGAGTCGCGAGTCTAGAGCTGCGGTGCCGGTTATTTCGGTTGCGGGTCGTGAGGCGAGTAGACTGTCGATTGCTGAGCGTAGGTCTGCGCGTAGCGAGTCGAATTCCCAGACTGCGGTTTGTACGGCTTGGTTACTGCCGGTGAATTCGAGATCCAGCGCGTTGCGAACGTCTGGGAAGGTTGATTTCAGTTGAGATTCTAGGTCGGCGAGCATGCTTTCGCTTTGTTTGAGGATTGCCGATAGAGGTGTGAGGGTTTCAAGGGCGGTGTCGAATATGGATTCCAGTTGGCGCTGGGAGTTTGTGAGGGTTTCTTCTGGAGGTATCGCCGATGAGTGGAAGGCGCTGCGTGGCGGGTATGTCGTGGGGAGGGTGATGCAGCTGTTGGGATAGAGAGTCTTGATGCTTGAGATATGGCAGAGGTCTTTGGTTTGGTAGACTACCTCGGGGAGAACC